GCCGAGGGGATTTCACAGTCACGAATTGGAGATTTATCCTGAAAGGAGCAAGCAAAGAAATTCTCTTTCGAAGGTAGATAAAACATACTTGTAAGAGTTGGTTGGGGGGTGGGGAGGGGGAACCAACCTTGTAGAAGTTAAATACTCTTTTCGCCACCACCATCAAATAAGTAAGAGGTAGTTATGAGTGATTCGGTAAGTATTTCATTTGTTTGTTTTTTTTAGTTTACTTATTCAAGCATAATTGTTCCATGACTAAACTGTATTTGTTTTTATTGTATATTTTTTGTAGGGAGGTTTTGGAAGATGATGAAGGTGACAATAATGATTGCACATTATTGTTCACATAAGACGTTTATTATACCCAAAATGCTATTTTGTAGCGGCAAAGGAGATTTCCCAAAGGAATAGGTTTTTCTTGGTCGTCACATCAATTAAGCAAAACGCTGGAGAAAAATATCCGCGGATATATATGGATTGCAACCATGGTAGAAGGAGCAAATTATATACCCCAGATTCAGCGAAGACAAGGTGCAAATCTAAATCGGGCAAGTTAGATGGTTGTTTTCGAGTGGTACTGCGGGCCGCATTGGTAGATGACAAGTGTGCGTGGGGAATTTTAGGTGTTGCAGACAAATATAATCCTGGGAAGCCGAGGGGATTTCCTAGTCACGATTGGAGATTTTCCTGAAAGGAGCAAGCAAAGAAATTCTCTTTCGAAGGTAGATAAAACATACTTGTAAGAGTTGGGGGGTGGGGGGAGGGGGGGAATTAACCTTGTAGAAGTTAAATACTCTTTTCGCCACCACCATCAAATAACTAAGAGGTAGTTATGAGTGATTCGGTAAGTATTTCATTTGTTTATTTTTTTAGTTTACTTATTCAAGCATAATTGTTCCCTGACTAAACTGTATTTGTTTTTATTGTATATTTTTTGTAGGGAGGTTCTGGAAGATGATGAAGGTGACAATAATGATTACACATTATTGTTCACATAAGACGTTTATTATACCCGAAATGCTGATTTGTAGCGGCAAAGGAGATTTCCCAAAGTAATAGGTTTTTCTTGGTCGTCACATCAATTAAGCAAAACGCTGGAGAAAAATATCTGCGGATATATATGGATTGCAACCATGGTAGAAGGAGCAAATTATATACCCCAGATTCAGCGAAGACAAGGCGCAAATCTAAATCGGGCAAGTTAGATGGTTGTTTTCGAGTGGTACTGCGGGCCGCATTGGTAGATGACAAGTGTGAGTGGGGAATTTTAGGTGTTGCAGACGAAATTAATCCTGGGAAGCCGAGGGGATTTCACAGTCACGAATTGGAGATTTATCCTGAAAGGAGCAAGCAAAGAAATTCTCTTTCGAAGGTAGATAAAACATACTTGTAAGTGTTGGAGGCAACACATACTCAAGCAAAAGACATGAGGAGTTTTCTCAATATGAAGTATGATGCTCATCACCATATGCAGCGGGTTTTTAAGGAGACAACAAAGATTGGACTTGAGAGATTGGGTGGCATGAAATCTATATTGTGGACATTGATAGAAGCTCAACGTCTTGACTACTTCGTTGAGTCTAAGTATGATGATGAGCATCGTGCTAATTGACTCTTCTTTTGCCATTCGGAGTCGATTCAGATGTTGAGCACATGGTATTTCTTGATTTTGACAGACTCAACATACAAGACCAACAAGTATAAGCAACCACAGGTTCAATTGATTGGTGTTACTCTAGTGAAGAAGAACTTCAACATTGGGTTTGCATTGGTCTCTGACTAGCTTCTACCGTCACTCTAGAAAATGGCCAAGTGTAACCACCTCCTAAAGCGTAGTATAGCGGGTTTGGGTTTTAATGTCAACCTGGGTCCTAGATGTGATGACTACTCCGTGAGTTCTTATTATTTAGAAGTGAAACTTTATTGAAGGTCCAAACAAGCAAACAAGCAAAGCAGTTAAAAGGTTTTTTTCAAGTCAAGAGAGGTCACCCGGATATGGTTCCCCCTAGACTGCAGTTAAGCCTGATTGTAATTTACCAAGTTCAATTCCAATGATAGTTATACTGCGGGAGGTTCTTAAACAGTCTGCAGTCTCGACTAAAGGTCTCCAGACCCTCTCAATCTGAGTCTCTAGCGGGCGACTAACCTCCACCGGAGTAAACAGATTGAGGCCCGAACGAACCAAACCTCCACTACCGAAGTAAATTCAGTACAGAATAGTGAATTGACTTCTCGACTAAAGTCGCCAGTTCACTACCTTCAATCAAGGGTGCTCTATCAATCTAGGCATATATTCTCTTTCTAGGTTAAAGCAGAAACAACAGGAATTTGATCAGGATTCATGCCATTAAACAAATCAAACCTCAATTGAACATAATCATACCACTAAATCTGTACTTGGGTTCATACAATCATACCTAACATACAAATCTAGGGTTCTTCATACCCAGGTGAATAAGAAAGTTACTCCATAGAGAGAGATGGGAAATCTAGCTCAGATGCGGAAACCATACTGTGAAGGATGAGAATCTGCTTCTGGCGCTCAATTAGCTATTCTCCAAGCTCAAGCCGAGCTCCAATGGTGATGGAGATCGATCAAGACACTTGCAGAATCAGGTTCGTCACTTTCTCTCTCTAGGTATCACTTTTTCTCTCTAAAACTCGGAACCCTTTCTCTTTTGCCATTCTTTTCCCTTAAGAGGCTGTCTGTCGCGATCCCCGGCCTGAATACCCGGTCGGGTATTTTAGGTGGAGACCAGGTATTATCAAAACGCACCGTCGAGGAACAGGGGAAAATCCCCGGTCAAGGCCAAGAATACCCGACTGGGGATTTCTGCTTACTGCCCGGGCCCCCTTCTGCTTCTCAAACGCCCGAAACATAAATTCCCCGGTCTGCTCCAAATAATACTCGGCCGGGTATTTCTGCTCATGGCCGAGTATTTTTCTCCTCCAGCACACTTCACCCCAAACGTGCTCCTTTCGACCCGAAACTCGTTTCTTCGGCTCGATGCCAACACTAAGCCCTGAAATATGACATAAACGCACAACCTAGCGTGAAATCGGCATAAAACACGAGAATCAACATCTCAAACGGCTCAAGAATAGGGGTAAAAACATGTGCAATCAATGGTCTATCAGTCTCATATGAGAAGAAGGAGACATATGCTTGGGGTTTCAAGCAATTGAAGATTGTGCTTGGTGATCGAATACCGGATGTTTCGTCACCGATAAGGAGGGAGGGTTGGGTGTCTCCTTGCGTGACATTTTTCCATCTTCAACACATTTATTATGCATTTGCCACGTGAAGAAGAACATTGAAGCCAAAATTATGTATATGGGGATGTGTAGAGATACCGCCGAGGCATTTGTAAAAGGTCCATGGGGGGATTCTGATCGTAGGGTAGAGGAGGTTGTCCTCTCCCTCCAAGTGTTCTATATTTATACTCGAATTCTTGTGCCCGTTGGCTTCAACTCAACACTTAGAAACTGGCTCATCCTGATATAGTAGGTCCAATTTGAGTCCATTTAGTAGAAGAGTAATTTCGGAAGGGACTCACATAATCCCTCCTTCAAACTCACTTCATTATTACGGAGCAAAATCAGGAGAGTATTTCCCTATTCCATTCTTCCTCCCTTAGTTAATAAAATACGGTACAGGAGAGTTACGTATAAAATCCGTACGGGTATTTTGTTTCGTCTCTAAGCTAAAGTTACGTTTAATAGTACGTCAACAATCATAAATATATAAATTAAGGATCAGACTCGTGTGCTCCTGGAGCATACTATGCTCCATGTACTTATAGTGAGATATCTCTATATATACCATGAATTAAACCGAGTTTGGGGTATGATACTATACCCTAACCTCAAATGGATAAACCCCAGGCCCCGATTTTCTAATCTCAAACCCAAAGTTGAATTTAAGAGAAAAGAAGAGTTGACCATTGAGATTGGTCGGAGCTAATCCATGTAAAACTAACGGCCAGATCATCTGGAGCATACTATGCTCCTGGAGCATACCAGCCGTCTTCATAAAATTAATTATTTTAAAAATAAATAAATATACAAATAATAGTAAAGTTAACAATATAATTCGTTAAATACGGATATTAAACGTGATATACGGGTTTTATACGTGTTTAGTACAGGAGCTATCAAATGAATGGAAAAAAATGAAACAGCTTGATAAAAATACGAATACGGAAGTTGTAACGGATAGAATATGTACAGGTACTTATACGTGTATTAAACGGAATATTTAGTATTTACTAACTATGTTTCCTCCTTATTTTCGTTTTTGCTCCTCAATGTCGCTCTCAAGAAGCCCACGTCGGCGATCATAAGCTTCTTCCACGAGCCGCTTTTTGTTGTCGTTGTCTCCAGTCTTCAGCCGGCGGTTCGAAGATGTTGTATTTATCTTTGTCGCGTCGATTTTTCCCCTTACAGTTCAGTCTGCGGTCTGGCGAGGGTTTCTTTCTGGTTATTGCACTGACAAGGGTTTCGTCTTCTCTCTCTCTTTTCATGGTGGTCTTCCTCTCCCACATCCGACGGCGCACTTGTGAGATTTTCTTCATATCCTTATTGTTTCTCTGTCGTCATCTCGTCGTAATGTTCTTTCTCAAAATTTAGCTCCTTCTAGGCTGAGCGAAGTGGATGGAGTTCGTCAACCGAGTCTTTCTCTCCGACTCGCTGGCTATGATGAGTGGATTCATCTGATTGGGCTTCGGGTTAGTAGGTGTTGGTTTCCTTTTGGGTTTGGGTCTTCGTAGGCAGCACGGTAAGGGTAGTCGAGTAGGAATGGGCTTTTGGGTAGCATTAGGGTTGCGCATTAGGTTTTCTATTCTTTAAATATGTAAGTTCGGCGGTAGTCTGGTTTATTAAATAGTAAAACTAAAGGTTCATCGACACCAACGCCGTTCTCTCGCTTGTGAGCTACAAGCTACTACCGAACCGAGAGCGTCAGTTCATCAGTGGTATCAGAGCCTACAGCTTCCACGGCCATGGGGAGATCAGCGGCGGAATGGTGTTTAGCGTTGGAAGCCACTACCGAGGGCTTGGTGGCGCAGGGCGAGCGGATGGAGGCGGAAATCGAGTCCCTCCAGAAAACCGTGACGGGGATGCTCGAACGGATGGCCCGGACGGATGAGAATGTTATGATGTTGATGGCGCAGTTCGAGAAGTTGATGGGCCAGCGTCTCGTCAAGGAGATCGTCGACACACCCGGCAGTGCGGCGAAGACGAAGGGCAGCAGCTGCGGGGACAAGACGACGGCCGCGATGCGGGACACCTGTGCGAAAGGGGGTAGCAGCAGTGGCGCACGTTTTCTCGCTAAGCTCGCGCGCTTGGAGTTTTCCAAGTTCACTGGAGATGACCCAGGTGTGTGGTTTCCACGCGTCGAATAATTTTTTGAGTATCACGAGGTACCGGGAGAGCAGCGAGTCGGGTTGACTTCCTTCCATCTTGAGGGCGAAGCTAATAGTGGTGGCAGTGGCTGAAGCGGACATACAAGGATGTCAGGGAGCCAATTACGTGGGAAGCCTTTTTCCAGGAGCTGTGGACACGTTTCGGGGCGTCGGAGGGCGAGAGATGTGACGAGGCACTGTCTCATATATGTCAAACAGGTTCTCTACGTGACTACCAACGCGAGTTTGAGCAGCTTGCTAATGGTTGTGTCGGTTGGACGCAACAGGCGCTGGTGGGGACGTATTTGGGCAGATTGAAGGCAGAAATTGCAGACAAAATTCGAATGTTTCGCCCTCAAACCTTGCGCGATGCAATCAGTTTGGCCAGAATGAAGAGCGACTAGCTGCAGCATCATAAACCGGCGGGTCGGGTGGCGCCGCAGGCAGGTGGCTATGGTGGCGGTAACGGTGCGTATGGGCCAAGGGCAGCCCCTGTGGACCTCCGACACAGGTTTGAGTTGGGAGGAGCAACAACTTTCTCGAGCTCAAGGGTTGTGCTTCAACTGCGACGAGCGGTTCACTATCGGGCACATGTGCAGTAACGCGTGGGTGATGTGCTTGTTTGAAGAAGAAGACTTTGAGGGTCAACCTTGGGGTCAAGGTTGGTTTTGAGGGGGAAGGATTGATGAGTGGATTCTTCGGATTGGGCTTCGGGTTAGTAGGTGTTGGTTTCCTTTTGGGTTTGGGTTCATAGGTGGCACAGTAAGGGTAGCCGAGTAGGAATGGGTTTTTGGTAGCATTAGGGTTGCATATTAGGTTTTCTATTCTATAAATATGTAAGTTTGGCGGTGTCCGGCTTATCGAATAATAAAACTAAAGGTTCATTGACACTAACATCGTTCTCTTGCTTGTGACCTACAAGCAACTCATCAACCGAGAGCGTCGGTTCATCAGGCTAGCAATGCTTCAATGGTTGATCCTCTGCTAACCCTTTCCGTCGTCAATTTTTTCAGGTTATTAATAGCACGCTCTAGAGGAAAACTGAAATCTTTGGTCCAATTCAGCAAGCGGGTTTGCGTGTGTGGTCTTGGAATGGCATCGACCTTGCATGTCTTTTTTTGACGGAATTAATTTGTTTTTTCCTTGGATTTGAATGGAAGCCTCCACAAATCATATATTTTTGGGATAGGTTTCGTGTGGAATGGTATTCATCTTGCATTTTGTTTTTTCTTCTTTTTTCTGTCGTGTTGTTGAGTTTGTGGTGGATTTGTATGTTGTTGTGGTAGTGATCAGATTATGTGCAATGGTATTGATCTTCCATGTTAGTGTATTGGTATGTTCTTCTGGTATTGGTTTAATGAGTCGAGCCGAGTCGAGATTTGCCTTGTTCATGTTCGGTTTGTTTATAAACGAGTCGAGCTCGAGTCCGACTCGTTTATTAACGAGTCAAGTCGAGTCGAACACGAGCTAGCTCATTTATTAAATCTTGACACATCGTTAAGATCGAAAGCTCGGCTCGAGCTCAACTCTAAGATAATTTATAATATAAATACCCTAATATTTATATGTCATATGTGATACAAGTGATTACCTAATGTTATGTCATATATGAGACATATTTGCTTACATATACTCAATGTATTAAACACCATGAGGTGATATATACAATTTAATAATTATATGCATCATTAACAAACCAACTCATAAAATATAGATTGATTTTCTCACAAACTGTAGTCGAGTTAGCTCTCTAGTCACAAAGTTTGGACATCTCATAAGCTCAAAACGAGACAGTTCATGAGTTGTATTAAACGAGCCACCTAATCGAGCTAGTTCACAAGCTTTACGAGCCGAACAAGGTAGAGCTTTTTTTTAATCGAACGAGCTTTTATCGAGTTCGAGACCGAGCCGCTCACGAATAGCTCGACTCATTAACAGCCCTAGGTGTAGGTCATACATGTCTTTCAGGAAGGTAATTTTAAAGCCGATTAAATGACATCTTTGGGTCATTCTTTGTTAATTTGTTCGATAAAATAGCAGTACGCTAAGTTATTGGCTGTGCTTTGATATCATTGCGGTTCAAACTTCTCGATTGATTTTTTTCTTATATATAAAAGGTAGGTACTCTTTCTTACCAAAGTTACTATTTCATTTTTGTTGTCTTTTAGTGGAGCGCATACGGTTCGGTAAAACCGAACCAAACCGAAATCGAATAACATTAATTCGGTTCGGAATTCGGAAGGGAAAAGGATATATTTCGGAAACCAAGTTCCTATCGACCGAACCAAATTTCTGAATTTCGAACTGAATTTCCGAATTACTATAATTGCAAGCTCCAAATGGTGGATTTTTATGTTTGTACTTATTATGAGACTTAAATATTTGAATCATATTAGTGTTTTATAACTTATATGTTGAAATGTTTGATTTTTATCATTGATGATGCATTTAATTGCATATTTATTATTTACATTAGGGGTGAAAAATAATTTAAAAGAGAGAAAATACAAGCTAACCTCACAAGCTTAGTTTTTCATACAAAACCGAACCAATTTATAATTCGGTTTGAGGTTTGATGAAATTCGGAACCCGGTATGCATTATTTCGGTTTGGTTCAAAGAACCGACCGAATGCCCACCATTAATCTTACCCCATCTCTCACACACACTCAAATATATTAAAAGAAAAAGTCTTTATTATTTGGTCAAAGATATTGCAGGTATAACCGAATCGAACTGGAAATAAAACCGAGTAAAATCATTTCCTTAAAAATGAACTGCTAAGATATTTAAACGGTTCAATTTGATTTCAAGAAAATGAAACGCGAGGCTTAAGCGGTTCAATTTTATTTAAATAAAATGAAACCCGAGGCTTAATTGAATATTGAGTGTTTGGTTATTGACTGTGATTTTATTTTTATCATTTTTCAATTTTGACTAAACAAAAAACGATAAGCACAAAAAGTTTGGGATCGAAAGTTTTTTGGTTGAATGGCTTGTCGCACACGGGAAGGTTGATAAGATTTAGGGATCACGATGGTTAAAAGAACGGTTCTCCATACAATGATCTCTCTTCGTGATTTTGGTGTTCGGTGGTTAAGGGTGTTCAAACAAATTGGTTATCGTGGTAACCATATTAATCGGTAGCATTTGGTTAATTTTGTTTGGTCAATTTAGATAATTGGTTTGATTTGGTTAAACAATTTAGCTTATTTTGTTTAGGTGGTTTGGTTTGGTTTCAACACTGCTAACCAATGAAACCAATTAACCAATTAATAATACACGTAATATACAAAATTATTTATACTTTCATGCAACCAACCAAACCAAACTTTCGTGATTCCCTATTTTATTTCCATGTCCACAACAAACCAAAGCATTATGGGTCAAAAATTAAATGGGTCTGCTTATTTACTAAACCAAAGCATTTTAGACAGCTACTAAACTTTAGGATTACGTACAGTACCATGACAGCCACCTCAAACTCTGTATAGTTTAAGTGTTTTGTAAGAGGGCTTTAACTTACTGATGACTGGTATTTGTATGTATCTAATATAAATGTTAAGGGTTTGTTGTAAGCTAACTATATCAGGTGCAGAGATGATGAATGATGTATTAACTCGAATGATAATGATAATCATGGATGGTTAGTCTTATTATTATTGCTTATATATAATGATAGTTTATGATAGTAATAACATATGATTATGTTTTATTCGTTAATAGGATAATTTTTCATGTAATGTTATGTTATTTGGTTAATCCGATTAACCGATTAACCAAATCAATTAAACTTTGATTTGGTTAATTTGGTTTTCGTGTTAATTTGGACAATTTGGTTAAGATATTTTATTTCATGGTTAATAAAATTTAGGCTTAATTGGTTTGGTTATTACCACGGTAACCATTTGAACACCCCTATCGATGGTGTGAAGGTTCTGGTCAGCGTTGCACTGCTTTCCTGTAATGTTAAGGTCTGTTTACTTTCACTTCTGTTTCCTGTTTTCGAAAAAACAGATGTTGAAAACATGTGAAAACAACATTTTGTCGTTTCCGAAAACAGCAGGAAGTTGCCACTTTCTGTTTTCATAGTTGGAAACGAATAGAAAACAGAATGAAAAGTAAACAAGTTTTCTTGTTTCGGTTGCCAAATTTATGGCATGAAAACAAAAACAGGAAACGAAAATGGAAGTGAAGAGGAAATTAGGGATCGTTTGGAGAATTAGAGTCTAAATTCATAGATTCTAAACAATCCGAAGATTCTAACTCTGTGGATTGTTGAAAAAAGATTTTAAAATTTTCATTGTTTGGTAATTGAGATTTGGAACATTTAGTGGAAAATAAGAATTCTAATTTTGCACAAAATTACATATTGATCCTTAACCAACAAACGGGAAAAAAAATATTCACAATTGTTTTTTTTTTCTCAATACGTTTATCCTAGCCAACTATTGTCTTTTCAAATGAAACATGTGCCTAATTACCCTAACATCCAATAACAAAAAATGACATAATAAAAAAAATTGCAGCAAGGGGGAGACCAATGTTGCAAGCTTCATAAAATGGGAAATACTATTTCTCAACAAGCTGTAGTCATTTTGTCTGCAGATTACAAAAATAAAAAAAGGAAACTAGTGGTTCATCCCACTCATAGCAACATAGTCAACTGAAACATCACACCCGAGTCATAGTATAGGCCACAATTCAATCAGTGAGTTCAAGGAGAAAGGTCAATTGATCATCTTCTGTTGGGAGCTGATAATAAAGATGAGTAAGTGCAACATCCTTCACCAGTGTCGGCCATGGCAATTTTTATAGCTTGCTTTCTTGTAGTTTCGCGGCAGAATAGGCAGCAACGAGTGTATGGGTTTTGCAGGAAGGAAGTTGAACGGTGCTGCTTCTGTTTACCGCTGTTTTGAGGAGTGGAGGGAAGTCCAAAAGAAGAAGATATATATAGAAGATGTAACCGATGGAATAAAAAAAAAAAAAAAAAGAGATATATTTGGGAAAGAATTATCTCTCAAATCAAGATACAAAATCTCTCTAATTATGAGAGATTTGATATCTCTGAATTTCAGAGATTTTAAATCATTAAAGTTAGAATTCACGAGAAAAAAATTACCAAAAAAACATGAGTTTTTAATAAATCTATGGATACTATAAATCCATGGCTCAAATCCTTTTCTCCAAACGACACCTTAGTGTTGCTGTTTTGATGGAGGGATGCTGCCGCCTGCCGGTCATGTTTCTCTGCTTGTTAATACTTACTAGAATCAATACTCGTGGCGGCTACGCAACGCCGCGAGAACTTAAGTTGAATTAGTATAATTGTATGGTGGCTAGTTTAGGTGACGGTAGTAGTAAGAAGTGAATGACACTATTCCAATAGTAACTCCAATAGCATAGTGGATGGATTGTAAATCAAACATATCAATCGTTTTAAAATCATAACAATCACTTATACGACATCTCAATTTTCCTAGAATGCCATAATTATTATGACATTAATATATGTTGACAACTAATTGATTTTTAACGGGTTTGTCCAAAAGCGGGAAAAAATTTAGGATCATGCTCAGTAATCTATGTATTGTTTTAGTTGTCATGAAAGCAAATTAAACTACCCACTAGTGAACTAAACTCTTTCAAATTAGGTTATCACTTAGATCAATCTGTTATTGTCCAAGTCGTGACTGTATTACTGTTCAATTTTCAGCCTAGCCAAGTAAGTTGTTTCTTTGCAAATCTCATAATGTCATTGTAGGAAGGAATGTGTCTCATGGCATGTCTGATGTGATTATACAAAGTAAGTTGAAGTTCAAATGGAAGTGCGTTGATAACATGAGAAACATATATCTCTGTTATTTTTTGTTCTATTTGCGCAACTAAAGCAAAACCCTTGCAAGTCAAATAATCAATGCCACGAAGTTCATGACTAAGTAACTCTGCTTAGACTTCGATAATGAATTCACAACGCTTAAACGGTGATGCCTTCTTCAATAGGTTCATCAAATCTTTTAGTTCGAATAACTCTACGATGGTTGGTAGGATGGTTAAACCATTTTAGAAGATTGCAGACCTGCATCACCATATGCATTCTTCTTGTACTCTCATGGATGCACGTGGCAAGACCTACAGTCTAGTCAATGCAAAAACGAAGACGAGTATATTGGAAGCACAACACTAAAAGAATAACAGAGTACTATTTACAAACGTCCAAGTCCGTGAACTTAAATAATAAATAACTAACGCATAGCTAACTATAGTAGGTCGACCCCTTGTCGTATCAAGTAACCATCAAGAGAAAGCTGGGTGAATTGCAAGTTTGGTCACTCATATTGTCTATTTGTAACACGTTAGCCACTTGAATCGCTTTCCCTTCAATTCAACCACCGATATTGTATGTTTGTGTCATATTTGGTCACTCATCGTTTAGTTCCGTTAAGTCTGTCCTACATGGCGGTCAACTGTTATGTTTGACCGTTAAAGTGGTGATGTGGAAATTAAAAAATTAAATAAGAGATTAAATTTTCCAGCTCACTATCAATAGGCTGCAATCTCTCCCTATCCATCGTCACCATCACCGATGAAAATGCTCAACCTCCGTTCCGTCAACCACTCCCTTACCCTCGAGAAGGGTCTCTCCTGGAAGAGCGGATCGGGTCTAGTGTAGCCAGCGCCACCGCCGCTACGTCTCCGTGAACAAGCTCTTCGGCTTGATCTCGTTGATTGCAGGGGAGGGCAGAAGACGACGCCCGAAAGGGAAGTCGTCGATTCATCACGGATGAGGTTGAATTCGGCTTCCAGGTTGGACGCCTAGACTTCTAAGATTACAATCGGCAGCGGCGGTGGAGGAGTGGGGAGCTTGGTCATTTCGGCGGAGTGGAAGTGATTGAGGTAGAATTTGCAGAGAGCTGGATAAATTTTTAGTGCGGTGATAGCGAAATTTGGGGGTCAGGGTTTTATATAGTGGAATGGGTAGTGGGGAGTGATAGGAAGTGCGGTGAAGCCCTCCCTCTGCCAGTAATTCCCTCCCGCGGCCAATCTCCTCGCCACCGCAGGTCCGTCGGGGTTGCCATCGCCACCGCTCGCCTCCACCCTCCCCTGCTTGCGTGCTCTGTGCCCTCGCCCGCCAGCTCCTCACCGCCGATCCTCATCCAGTTCGCTGATCGCCAGCGCCGTCACTGCATCTCCCGTCGCTGCACCGCATAGTAGCGTCGGTCCCCCACCAGACCATCTTCCCCATCATCGATTCCGCGCCACCAATTCCTCGTTGTCGCCATCGCCGATACCACCTTCGAATTAGCGTCGTTGCCGTGACCCTCCCTCTGAGCTCGGCCGTCTTCAATCCCTGCCATCCTCCACCGTCGTCGATCCGTGCTGCTACCACAGTTGTCTCAGTTCATCGTGGAAGAAGGAGAAGAAGAGAGAAGCAAAGTCGTTGGCGGAAGAAAAAAAAGTGAAAAGGAAGAAGAGAAAATGCTCCCTTTCATTCCTCTCTCTTCCTCTTTTGTGAGGTGGAAATTTCTAAAGAACTATTTTTTATTTTTTAATTGTCACATCACTATTTTAACAGTCAAATATAATTGTTGACCGCCACGTAGGACAGATTTAACGGAAGTAGACGGCAAGTGACCAAATATGACATAAACTTGTATTATTGGTGACTAAATTGAATGAAAAATTATTCGGGTGGCTAACGTGTTACAAATTGGTAATATGAGTGACCAAATTTGCAATTCACCCGAGAAAACTTCTCCAATACAGGGGAGTAGGAATGGCAATCAAACCCATGGCCGCGGGTATCCGACCGCCCCCCACCCAGTCAATGCGGGAAATTCCCGCTTTGACCGGGTATGGGGCGGGTATGGGTAAAACCCGCAAAAAGTTTGATGGGTATGGGACGGGTATGGTTTTAGCCTCCCCCGCCCCATACCCATCCCCATACCCGCCCCATCAAGATAATTTCTTCATATATAAAAAAAATATGTGCATCAAATTATAATCTATCAATGATGATGAGGATGACTTGAGAAAAATAAATAGTAGAAATGCAATTGATTGACCACCTTAATCAAAATCTAATTCATTTCTCTCAATCCTCATTTCACTCTTTCACTTTCCCCCTTGTCAACAAAATTATGTTAGTTAATTATTACTTAGTAGATGTATCAGAGTTAGAACATAAAAATTTGAAAAATATTATACTCTATATTATGTATTAATGGATATTTTAGGATCATATCTTTGAACCATATTAAAAAAATGACCGTGTTTTATTGACTTCATGATATAATATGTTCGTTTAGAATTATAATTAGAACTTTTCTTGTAAGTTTAAGGTATAATAATGTTGGATGTACGGGTATGGGTATTACCCATGGGTACCCGAAACCCACAAGTATGGGGATGGGTTTGCAAAACATTCCCCCGCATGGGTATGGGGCGGGTATAGGTTTGGGTATTTGAATATGGGGATGGGGATGGTTTAAGCAAACCCGCCCCAAACCCGCCCATTGCCATCCCTACAGGGGAGTAAAGTGAGGAACATAGAAATATATTAGCAGTGGCGTGTGCGGAAGAGTTTGCAACTTGGAGAAGCAAATCAGAGTGGTGAGAGGACGGGACATGATTGAAGTGGTGGCTTGCAATCGTTGACTTTGAGGGTGAGGCTGTGAAGGGATGGGGGAAAGCCTGGTCGACTGCAAGCGAAGTTCTCTTCAGCTCTAGCCAACTGCATATTTCCCTCTGGTTCAAGCTTATTCCCCATCTCAAAGTTCTTTGCCGATGTCTTCACTTGTTCCATGTTCAGTCTCCTCTTCTTCTCCCCTTCCCGTGAATCGAGCTGATCCCCACCATTATAACCGCCTTCTAACTCATGATCTCCAATCCCTGAAGACATGTTAGTTACAACAGAAGTCAACTAATAAAAGCTTCAATCCCTCTTTTCTTCCCAGCATCTACAACATAATGCATGACCAACATCTAACAGGTGGCATGTAAATCACAGAGATTCTCAAATGAGATCAATAAACCTTAATCGGATGAATACAAAAATCTTGAGAAAACATTTAAGTTGATGCAATAATAAAAGCATATAAAGAACTTTGGTGAATAACTTTTGTCGAGTAAAGTCATCCATTGTGAGGAAAATGAACAGAACTAATCCAGAAATCTGGCATCCACAAATTGGCCGAGTTGGATCTAATCAGAGCTATCAACCAGTGAAATCGCTTAGATACTAATCCTAAACCCAAGAACCCCTTTAAACTCAGCCTGTCAATCCACAAACACATTTCCTTAGATGTCTGAACAACCCTCACCATACATAATGCTTAGCCAGACTCAGCCTATCAATATTGTACTACTAAGCATGTCATGTACTCACCCACGAATCGTAATGAAAGACACAATAGCAATTTGTACAGTTTACATGTGTTAGCTTGCTCAGACTCGATTGTTGCTGTCACTTTGTATAGTTGCTGTTGTGCTGCTACTGCAACCACTGATTATGTTTGGTATCAGCAGTTTTTCTTTTTAGTTTTCAATGCAGCAGGGTTTCACTGGTACTGTTGTTTTCCTCTAAGTTCCTCTCTTTGGATGCAATAAATCTTTCACCTTCACACTGGAGAAAAATTCTATGAATAAAGTGGGAAACCTTTCAAATTGCAGGCAAGAAGAATTACAGTAGTGCAGATCAGTGAAGCCGAAGAACCAAGTAACATATCAAAAACCAATAAGAGACAGAATTTTGCAAGACTAAAGTGAACTTGTAAGCAAATACTACACATATGGTAGATGGACTACCGTGAAATACAGAATAGTAGCAGCACTTCGATAAAGAAATATAGAGGCATGTCAGTGCGTTAAAATTCCCAAAAAGCATAAAAGAATCAGTAATAATATTTATTTGACTCCGGTGAGAAGATGAGCATTTGGGTGAATAGTAATGAACTTCTTTAGATCCCGAGCCTAGATTGAATCATCCCAGAATAGTAGAATGGAAGAAATAAATTGTATAACACAACTTGAAAAAGATAAGCAAGAAAGATCATCAAATCCTATCAAACTCCTTCGGGTAAGGAATGTAAAGCATGCTGAATAAAAAGTTCCCGCACGAAAATGGACTACCATCAACAAATTTAAAATCTAAAATTGCTTCAGTGAAATCTTAGATAACTCCTATAACTCCATGCATATTCAGAAAGCAAATTGCAGTGGAACAGCCGAGTATGAAGCCCCGTTTAAGCTTATGTCTACCTAACCTTAAAGAGTACATAGAAACAAAACAAAAAACCTCTAATAGAACAACCAAAAAATTAGCAAATTGCTAAAGTACTAACCTTTCACAACAGCGAAGACAGGCCGAGAGTTTCAGTAGCATCGGGAAAGCAAGCCAACAAAAAAGTGACCGTGGTCCAGCAAGTCTACGGACAGAAGACTTGGAAATGTAAAACTTTCTTATTGCTTTGCAACTTCCTGTTTCAGCTCTGCAAACTTTCCCATGGATTTTTCTCTTTTGCTTCTTCCTTTTGTTTGTTCTTCTTTTGTCTGAAATCTTCACCTTCTTCTTGGTGTCCCTTGCTTGAGTAATTTCATCATTTACTTAGTAACGAAACAACGAACAGATGAGGGGCAATAGTAAATCACAAATAAGTATCTTCAGAAAACTATCAAACTCAAGAACAACAATCCTTATCTCTTCTTACCAAATCGTTGCTACTGTAATGATTCAATCCAATCACCCTTTGACCAGGTAGTCCATTTGCTGCACAATGTTGCTAAACATTGATTATGGTTCAAAGCTGCTGAGAAAATGCTTCTCTATCTCCTCTTGTAACAGAGCGATCTCCGGCCTTAAATGTTGAAAGAATTCATGGCCAACATAATGAAACCGTGTATGGCTAAGCAGGGAGAAAAGTGTACCCAGCTTCTTCGGGGAATTCATGGCCAACAGCCAAAATTGTACAACACAACTAGTACGTAGGAAAGGAACAAACCAAGATCCATGCCGCTTACTGTGGAAACTTCATCACTTCACTCGATCACTCCTCGTTTCAAATTTAGCCAGTAGTTTTATCGTACCAAACTAAGATCCTAAGAAGAAAAGAAAAACATCACATTGTTATATACAGTATAAAGACTAATTCTCTAATTTCAACCAAGCAATACAAAAATTAACATCTACAACCTAACCACAAATATCTTGGCAGGTCCTTAGTGTCCTCCAGGGCCGATGTCACGCCATCACTGCACAACATAAAAACACAAAAATGTCTGCTAAGAACCCCATTCATGTCTGTTTTGGAAGAAAAATTTATGTTCTAAGGTCAAGGCAGCAAGCAGGCAAACCTATCCCTAAAAGATAAATCAATCAGCCAACCCAGTTCAGAATTACCATAACGGAATTTGGAGATTAAACTTATTTACCATGGAAGTCCTGTGGTGAAGGAAGGAGAATTGGGTTGAGAGAAGTTCGAGACTGGTGATGGTGATAAAGCTTCATATTGGCCCTGCTCGGGCAAGCAAGAGCTCGTCTTTGCCGCTTTCATCCTTGTCGTTAAGGCAACTGCAAACAGGAACAGGGCACCACCTCGACGAAACATCGAAAAAGCTGATCCAGTTGAGACGAAAAATTGATCAAGCTAGCTAGGTGTTGGACCCGAATTTCTGACATACGGACCTCTCTTTGTCTCCCCTCGCCGCACTGAGGACTGACGACAAACTGATCTCCAGTTGCGACTGAACATGACGGGCGGTACAGGTGCTTCCTCGTCGGCGGGTTTCATGGCGCATTGTCTATCAAGGGGCAAACCGGCAAAGCACATTGAAGCCAGAGTTTCTCCCTTTGTTGCCGACACGGGCTTTTCCCAATCGAATGTCTCCATCATCGCCAAAGCGTCGTCGACATCTCTTCCTCACCATCTCAAACCGGATGAAAAGAGGAAACCAGAATTGGAGGTGGCCGCTGAATTTTTTGGGGAATGGATGAGAGGTGGGAAGAGGAGACGTATGAATGGAACTATGGAAGTAAGAAAGACCAAAGAGGCATGGGAGAAGGAAGGGAGAACTGATGGTGCAGACTTGAGAGATGGAGAGATGATTGGGAGTGATTTGGTAGGAGAGGGTCTTAGAGGGCGCGGTAGAAAGGGCTCAAGATTGGTTATGCATCCATCAATAACCAAATCTGGACCCTTTATTTAGAAAATCCAGATCTAAGGATGAAAAATTAAGGATCATTTTTATGTTTCCTAGCTTTCTTAATCGGCACATTTCTTTTTCGTTTTAACTCGGAGTTTAATTTTTTTTGCACAGATGGAACGAGTTCATCGTGCTCTACCAAATGAGAACAATTTTCAATATTTTTTAGAAAAAAAAAAATTCTGGCCTCTCGGTACCAACTGCATATCATATGGTATCTTCTTCGTTTTTAATTCGTTTTTGAAAAAGTTTGCACAGAAGGGACGAGTTCATCATGATCTATTGGATCTACAAATTTCTGGGTGAACAAATTACAGGACCAAAAATACCACACAATACCATACAATATCACCCTGGTACGGGGTGGTATTGTTTGGTATTTTCTTCGTTTTTAATTCGTTTTTGAAAACGTTTGCACAGAAGGGACGAGTTCATCATGATCTATTGGATCTACAAATTTCTGGGTGAACAAATTACAGGACCAAAAAATACCACACAATACCATACAATATCACCCTGGTACGGGGTGGTATTGTTTGGTATTTTCTTCGTTTTTAATTCGTTTTTGAAAACGTTTGCACAGAAGGGACGAGTTCATCATGATCTATTGGATCTACAAATTTCTGGGTGAACAAATTACAGGACCAAAAATACCACACAATACCATACAATACCACCCTGGTACGGGGTGGTATTGTGTGGTATACAATGTTAAAAGTCGTAAATGACAATTAATATACTTCTACTATCATGTATTCAACCATCCTACAGTCTTGGTTTGTTCATACCACCATGGTACGTTTTTCAAACCATAAGTATGCTTTTATTTCAATACCAGTCAATACCACATGGTATAGACAGGTATAAAATGGCTCAATTTTTTTTGTTCGAAAAATATATTAAAGTGGATATCATTTTGAAGAGCACAATTAATCTGATCTAACTATGCAAAAAAAAATTAAATTTCGACTTAAAATGAGTGAGAAATCGTCCGTCAAAGATTAAAGAGGGGAAAATTAAAGACTTTCCAGGAGAGAAAGGATGCTGATGTCATGCTGATATGGGTTGGTTACTCATGGTTACTCACCATAAGGTTACTGACCTGATCCGTTCCCCTCAGAGGGAGCGGTAGAAAGAGAGGCATGGGAATGGGGATAGCCTGCTTTTCCACCTTTTTTTATTTAAAGTTTTGGAGACGTTCTTTTAGTGCTAGTACGTGAGTGGAGAAGGCTGAAGATGGGAAGCTCTTTCGCTACACGCCAAATATTGAAAGAGTAATAATAATTTTGGGCAAAAAGCGTACCCACTAATTATATGTAAAAAGAATACTAAAAGTGAAAGCGCCCTAGCGCTCTATTTTTTATCAAAAAATAAAATCAACAATAGTATTTTCCCCCAAATCTACAACCGACTAATATCATAAATCTAGAGTTCTACCAAAACTAATTTTTTAATCAAAACTCTCAAGTCTCAATCTTCAAATCCAGCATGAAGTCACACATATAACCACCAGTTAATCAATCAATGGGAATCAAAGTTTCTTTGTAATTAAACCAGCGCTCGACCAAAAGGCAATTCGGTATGAGAACTTGAACCACTCGAGCACCACGAGAATCAACTAACACCAGTTGATTCTTCTCACCGCACTGTGCAACAATTCGATCATCGTCCAAGCACATATCCACGTATAGTCCATGAGGGAAAGGTCCAAGAGTGGCAACCCTGCACCATTCCATCCCACCATCATCGCTACTATTGAGCAACCATACGTCAACTGATATCTTCAGGCATCTTCGTCTCTTACTGAAAACCTCCCGCCGTTTAAACAGAGCGATCGAATCGCGATACACAAGAAGCCTGCTAGCCGTCGACAACCCATGAATAGGAAGAATGAAATCACAGTTGATCTTGCTGAAAACTTCGGTCGCCATGTCAAATGCCATCACATGAGCAGTGGTTCGGTACTCACAGAGCCAATAGAAGAAGCACTTACAGTAAGTATGCTGGTTGAACAATATATCTGGGAGTCCATCTTCCGCAAGGAAAGGATACCCTGCTTCTAACTCTCCCCACGAGTTGCTCCCTAATGTATAAACCAAAACCTGGGTTTCGTGATGCGCTCCAAAATCATCCGCATCAAACGAATAGTACGAATTGTGACGGACGAGAACAACTTTGATGTCTTGGGAGACTAAATCCATCCCAACTCCGTACTCATCAAGGAACCCATCGAAATGGGTTTTAACACCCGGTTGATCCAAATATGGGTCTGGAAGATGCTTAACCTGGCCAGTGGCCGGGTTCCACAGACAGTAATCATGGAGCGGCTTGTTTGGATCGCCGAGAAGCAACACACCAACTTCCCCTGCACTGCAAATCACTCTGTTAACCAATGTCTCGTCCAAAGTGATTAGCTGCAGATCCGGGTCGAATGAGACCATCCGTTTGGGCATCCTCCACTCGTACTCCGTACCTGGAGGATAAATGAAGTAGCGGCATAAGAGGGAAGGTTGCTTGGTAGCCGGGTTATTGGTGTAGTTTTTCAGGTGCATGGAGACGAACTGTGGGCTCTTGGGGATGATGGCGTTCCAGTTCCTGCATACGGACTTGAATCGGAGTAGTGCTTTCACGGGCAGCCGAGAGAGGATCTCCATCTCAGCATCATCGAAAGCTAAATCATTGTCATGATTTCTCACTAATGGAGAGGAATTGGGTACCTGGAGCTCATCGGTTCCACGCTTACTGCCAAGTGCCCAGTTCACCAACCTAGCTATTGCCTTGCCTAGTCTCGATCTTGATCGAGCAAATGAAGCTAGCAGTTCTGGTGGGAGAAGGGCGGCAGCCAGTAGAAGCTTAGCAACCGAAACTGAGGACGAAAACTATCACCTCAGGTGCCACCATGGTAGTAGGTTATATGAGAAATTGCAAGGCCTCAAGACTATGAAACAATCGATTACTTCCATCACATTTCCTGACCCTGCAATTTATACACTGTTAGCATTGACGCTGCAATTGTAATCCCCGACGCTGTATTGGCGGTTCCATGCTAATCAATGGTTTCCAACACATTCCATCTTTCCAACATCTCGACGCCCTCAATTGTAGTTTTCCAACACATTCCATCTTTCCAACATTATATGCCTAATACGTAATACCAATACACTACTCAGGATGGAAGAGAAATCGCCAATCGACGTCGTCGGTCTTTTAACGTTTAAGAAGCTGATAGCTGGCAGTCGTTAACTCTTTGGTTAGTGAGGCGACAGTGCAAAGTCTTTTTTCCTTTTTTCCATCATCATCCAAGTTGTTCACTTGAGATCTTGACCGTTGGATTAGTTTTGGCATTTTCTACCGTTACCAAGGTTGTCAAACCAGGTTAAGTCATTCGGCCGGTTTGACAAGGGGTATGGGGTTTAATGGTCGGATCGGAGTTCAACCGGGTTAAGCCGGTTTTGACAAGATATGTTGGAGAGTCATTGACACCTAATAAAATAAGAGTTGAAACAACAACCCAACCTCACTTCCACTGCCGATGAATTCCACCTCCTTTTATCAAATGACCACACAATTTGCACTTGTTCCAAATCTTTCCATCTTCAGTGCGAATTTCCTCAGCATAGCCCCAAGCAAATTGAGATCAAATCAACGCAAATTCTCACGGAGGAAAGCTCAATTGGGCAAGGAAATGCATCAGAACCCGAACAAGACATCAAAAACCCTAGCGAATTGGGGAAAGTGAGACCAGCCAGCCGCCTACCTAGTCTTGAACTGAGAGAGCAAACCGGAGCTCTCGCCGCAGATCTCGACGCACAGCGCGAAGAAGGAAAGAAACGACAGAAACCCACCGGGGAGGAGAAGAGACGGAGGGAGAGAGAACATGATGCAGGCGATGAACAGCACCACCACGGCCCTCTCGCCGGTAAGCAGCGGCGGGGCAGAGACGGACGTCATGGAAGATCGCGGGAGACGCTGATCGGTCGTTACTTACATGGAATGGGAAATCTGGAGACTGGAATCGTTGAGGTATACGAGGGGAGCGCCAACGGCGAGCGGCTGCTGTGCTGGGGCAGGTGTTCGCTGCTCTGCGAGGGAGGAGGTTTGGTAACGGCGGCAGCGATAGATAGGGTAATGGTTATTGAAGTTGGAAGCAACGAGCCAAAACGACGCCATTTTCCTCAAAACCGGTAGCCTGATCAGTCCGGTCAGACCCCGGTTTCCCCCAGTTTTGACCGGTTTTGACCGGCTACCGGCCAGCTCTAATTATGGTTGGTTTTGGCCCTTTTAGTGTCCGGTTCCGGCCAGACCCGGTTCGATCGGCCGGTTCGACCCCGGTTTGACAACCATGACCGTTACAATGATACATGGTAATACTTCCAAGAACCATCAAGCACGTTTGTGCCCAGATCTCTGAACATGACAATCTGACTACCCTAGTCATGTGCAACCGTAAGGCATCACAATTTAAAACCGCACCCAGTACCAAAAGGAAACCCAAATCCGCCATGGGAGAAAGCATCGAACCAGCTTTCATACAGGCTCTAGAGCACCGGCCAAACACCCAAGAAGACACTGCGCAACTACCTGAAACCATACCCACCATCGACCTCTCCTTGCTGAATTCCCCTGCTGAACCTTTGAGACTCGAGGGTCTGGTGAAGGAGATCGGCAGAGTCTGCAAGGAGTGGGGATTCTTTCAGGTAGTCAACCATGGAGTGCCCTCCGAGGTGCGGCAGAGGATGGAGAAGGCGGCGAAAGAGTTCTACGACCAGCCATTGGAGGAGAAGATGAAGGTGAAGAGAGATGCAGAGAACCCAATGGGGTACCATGATAGTGAACATACCAAGAATGTTAGGGATTGGAAGGAAGTGTTCGATTTCTTCTCAAAGGAGCCAGCTGTTATCCCGGCATCTGAAAATCCTGATGATCAAGAGCTCAGGACTGTTAGCAATCGCTGGCCTCAGTACCCTCCTGAATTCAGGTATTCGTCCTCCTCGGCTCCTTGCTTTTTGCCATCTTGCGAATTAGGGTTCGAATCAGTCAGTACTAATGCTTTGATGTAATGTACAGAGAGGTGTGCAAAGAGTACAGTGCAGAAGTTGAGAAATTGGCATACAAGGTGCTAGGGTTAGTGTCCTTGAGCTTAGGCTTGCCGGCTGATCGGTTGAACGAATACTTCAACCATCAACTGAGCTTCACCAGGCTGAACCACTACCCTCCATGCCCTGCCCCCGACCTTGCACTTGGCGTGGGCAGGCACAAAGATGCAGGAGCCATAACCGTCCTTGCTCAGGATGAAGTTGGAGGGTTGGAAGTGAGCAGGAAATCAGATGGGAAATGGTTCCCCATAAAGCCAACTCCTGATGCATATATCATCAACATTGGCAATTGTATGCAGGTAAGAGAGACCTACCCGTTCCTTGGTCTTTCCTTTGTATGTACATGGTAGTCTAAAGTGAGTTTTACCTGTGGAAAACAAAATGCAGGTGTGGAGCAATGATGAGCTGTGGACCGCTGAGCACAGGGTGGTGGTGAACTCTGAGAAGGAGAGGTTTTCAATGCCTTTCTTCTTCTTCCCTTCTCATTATGTGGGGATTAAGCCACTGGAAGAGCTTGTGAACAACCACAACTGCCCCAACTATAAGGAGTATAACTGGGGGAAGTTCTTTGCTAGCAGAAACCGCAGTGATTACAGCAAGCGACAAATCGAAAACATCCAAATTGATCAGTTCAAGCTATCAAATTGACCCTGTTGGTGTTCCTAGCTTCAATTATGAATAAATAGGAACTGATGTTTTTACTATTTTGACTTCTACCCTATTGTTCTAGTGGTAGTAAATATCATAAAACCTTAAACCTCTAATGAGTAATGATGCAAAGCATTAAAAGAGAGCTTCCATTCCCTTTGCTTCTCAGTCTAAACTTTAATTCCTTCTTCTACCTCTGTTTCGACGGGATGAGACCACTGTAGTCCACCCATCAACCTCCGGTTGAGTAACCGGTGAATCCACCGCCATCATATTTGACTCGCCACCAGTAATCATCTTATCTCCATCATCACTTCCAGAAGAGTCATCATCATCATCATCATCAATGGCAGTCTAATACAGCGGGTCAGGGAACAAAAAAAGACCAGATTAACAGAGAAGGAAATATTATATGAGCTAATTATGAAACCCACATCACAACTTTCGCAGCATATCAATAACCTGTGTAATATGATGATGAGTTGCGGCAGCATTAGGCACTGGCGCGCTTCTCAGCTTCTCGACAGAGCTATAGTTACCTTCCAAACATTCCTCGTGCATAATCATCAATTTCTCTGCAACCTGTATCCATGGTGAGAATTCAAGCGGACAACGTCAATTTTCAGCAAGGTTATTAATCATACTCCAGGCAATCTGAAGATTAAGGTGTGACCTCCTCAATTTCGCGGCCGTCGTCCTCAAACCTGACCCCCAGAGAATCGGTTCCGTCGTCAAGAATGTCTTCTAGATCATCAATGTAAAGCGGCTCGTTGGCTAGATGGAGCATGGGAGATATTTTTCGAAGGAAAAATCAGGAATCGCGAGGTTAGCCTGAATTCGACGAGCGAAATTCGACGAACAGATTTTCGACGGCAGCTAGAGTTTTTACCTTTGTGGCGGGTGAACCAGGAGTAGACGTCGGATGCAAGTTGATCGGCCAGTTGCCGGGAGCCGCGGCCGGCTAATTCCTGCTCGACGACGTCCCGAAGAACCGACCATCTGGTGAGAATCAAATACATTCCTTCCTCGAATATCCGCAGTGACTCCGCCGTCAGCCGCTTCGCTGGCCCGTTTCCAGAGCTTCCGCCTCCGCCATTCATCCTTAGCTTCCCGTCCCGGATCTGATCCCTAGCTAACCAATCTCCTGTTTCTTCTCCTGCTATCTCCACTTCTCCGGCGCGCGCTAATCACTGCTTCTGTGTAAAGCCTGGAAGGGCAAATCTGTTTGATGATTCATGATTGACGATTTAATTTAATTATATTTTTCTAATGACATCCAAAGCATTAAGAAAGCCCAACTATCTGTATCCTCAAAGTCGAGCCCAATACAATTTGGGTGGGCATTTATGTAAGCCTGGGCCCAAATCCACATTGTCGATACTCGAGTGGCGACAAGGCACAATAATACACCTCTACTAGAGAGAAGGGCATCAAAGAGTTTGCCGAATGAGCAATGTGCTTCCAAATAGAGGCCTAATCGCTCAAACTAAGACAAGTTACGGTTGGTCCATGGTGCAACTGCAACTCACTTGTGGTTGGTCCATGGTAGAACCGCAACTGAGCTGCAGTTGCACCATGGACCAACCGCAACTCATTTGCGGTTACACCATGGACCAATCACAAGTGAGCTGCGGTTGGCCCATGGTGTAACCGCAAATGAGCTACGGTTCCATTTTTTGTTTTTTTTTTCAATTTTTTTAGTGAACTTTACCGATTCAAAGTCGCTAGACATGATCCAGACATCATATGGACGATTCAACTCCAGAATGACGATGATGGATTCTCTCTTTTGAATAATGGTTTATTTTCTTTACTAAGAGGTGTTTGTTTGCTAAAAGAAGAGTAAAGTAGCTAATAGGTTAACTTTGTAACTTTGATGTTTTTTAGGGCGACATTTAGCAATTTTAAGGACAACCTTTTAGCAACTCCCATGTTTTTAACCACTACAACGTCAAATCATATACTGATGGATTAATCTTAATTCCAGTCACATCAAACTGACAAACTATACACAACGAGGAAAGTAGAAAGGAAAAAAAATTAATTGGAAGAGAGGGTTATCAAATTTCACTAGCAATGACATCTAAAAAAAATATTCAAACAAATACATATTAAATCACTGTCTCATATTCATATACTACAAACAAACGAATGAAATACAACGATGATTTTGTAAATACCTATGACGAGTAATAAATTAAATCAACTAACATCAACACACCGAACCACTTTCACAATAGATTGTGGTAAATGATTATCAACCTCCGCTTTCCATTAAGTTCAAAAAAGGGTGACACACATTTGACACACACAAATTTGTCTACGTCTACTCCTTTCCCCACTAATTTCACCCCAAAACCCGTCCAGATTCACTCTTCCCTCCCCTTATGACAAACCCAACTCTCCAACTATATAACAAACCCCACAAACCCTCCACGCCCTCCCACCAAAACAAAATAGTACACTGATCAGACTTCAGGAAAGAAAGAAAAGAAAAAAACAACATAAAAACCATGGGAGAGGTGGATCCAGCATACTTTCAACAGCCAGAGCACAGGCCCAAGCTTGAAATCGTTCAAGCACAAGGGATACCCTTAATCGATCTCTCCGAGCTAACCAGCAACGACCCTTCACAACAACCTTCAGAAAACCTCGTGGAGGAAATACGAAATGCTTGCCGGGGTTGGGGGTTTTTCCAGGTGGTCAATCATGGAGTTCCCCTGGAAACCAGGCAGAGGATCATGGCCGCTTCCAAGGAATTCTTCGCCCAGCCGTTGGATGAGAAGAGGAAGGTGAGAAGGGACGAGAAGAGGGTTTTGGGTTACTACGACACCGAGCATACCAAGAACGTGAGGGATTGGAAGGAAGTCTTCGATTTAACTGTGGAGGATCCCACTTTTGTTACAGCTTCTCATCACCCTGATGATCAGGAAGTTGATGAGTGGCACAATCAGTGGCCTGATTTCCCGCCTCATCTCAGGTATTAAGGAGAAAAAAAAAAGCTCCAACATCATCATTCATTTCAATTTGCTGTCATCAATCGTTGTTCTGTTACCAATTTAGTACACAATTTGGGGACTAGATCGAAGTATTATGAACATGTGAAAACAGGGGAGCATGCGAGGAATACGGCAGAGCTGTGGAGAAGCTGGCGTTCAAGCTGATGGAGCTGATAGCCTTGAGCCTTGGGCTGCGGGCGGACCGGTTCGAGGGCTTCTTCAAGGACCAAACCAGCTTCGTGAGGCTGAATCACTACCCACCTTGCCCGGTTCCTCACCTGGCCCTTGGCGTTGGTCGCCACAAAGATGCCGGGGCCTTGACCGTCCTGGCCCAGGACGACGTTGGTGGGCTGGAGGTCAAGAGGAAGTCCGACGGGCAGTGGGTTTGGGCCAGCCCAACTCCTGATGCTTATATCATCAACGTCGGTGACATCATTCAGGTGCCAAATCATCATCGTCGGATCGGATTACATTCGCCTGCTTCATTCACCGTTACTATCTTCCTTAATAACTAACTACCAACTCATAAGAGATTAGTTATAAACTAATTAATTAAATTTATTGATAAAATATTTACACATACCCTCTTATAGTTTCTGCTAGACCGACATATTTATTCAGAGAATGCGTTCGGCTACGAAAAAGGGTTGTGATAAGAAACGCTCCATTTTTTTCGTGCTATTGCTACAATTAAGCAATTTTCTTTGGATAATTCATCCATCCTAGTCCAACCCTAAGATGGATACTGCTCATACTTCAATAACATATGTGTTTTTTTATAAGGTTTGGAGTAATAACGTGTACGAGAGCGTGGAGCACAGGGTGATGGTGAACTCAGAGAGGGAGAGGTTTTCGATCCCTTTCTTCTTCAACCCATCACATTACACCGTGGTGGAACCCTTGGAGGAATTGGTGAGCAATGAGAGCCGTGCTAAGTACAAGGCTTACAACTGGGGGAAATTCCTTCTCACAAGGAAAGCCAGCAATTTCAAGAAGCTTGATGTTGAGAACATCCAAATCTCTCACTTCAGAGTCCCGGAATTGGCTGATGCTTTGGAGGGTGCCCTAAAGTTGAACTGAGAAATTGGCAGCTTAAGTAATTAATTGTGGAATTAATAGCCTTTTTAGTCGTATTCAGTAGTTCCATGATGACGAGTTTGTTCTGGTTTGTCCTGAAATGCGAACTATGGAGAGTTTGCTACTGTATTTGTAGTGTGTGTTGAGCAATAGTAGATGAACATCTAGATGTACATTGTGGAAATAAGAGTGTTCATTGTTGCAGTTGCAGACAAGGATGAAGTGCGGAAGGAGGAGTTTATAGGCTTTTAGTTTGTTGTTATTATGGAATAATTAATAGTAAGAATAATAATGAACTTTATTTTTCTGCTGGGTCTAAAATGAGAAAACTTGATTTTTAAGTGTTTATGCCAAGTATGTGTATGATAATATATTTTATATATGACTAATTATTTAATTTATCAATTGATTTGATTGGTTATAAGTGTCTGAAATCAAATGAAATCACCTAATCAGACAAGCTAAAAAATTTAACAAAATCAAACCAATATCCAAATTATTTGAATACTACCAATTAAAATTATTAGTAAGGTAACCACTCTATTTGGACACTTCTATCATTTTGGCTTTAAGAGAAAAAATGAAGGATGTTTGACTATTTCATAAACGACTAGGATGTCTAGTTTTGCTTGCTATCTCGTCCTAAGAATTAGGATGCTTACTCCTGCATCAAGGATTGAAATGTCTCGCATGTCTATAGCTCGGCTTAAGATAGGGTGCATAACCATGGATTATACATTCATCAATAACTAAATTTGGACCTTTCATTTAGAAAATTCTGATTTAATGATAGAGAATTAAAGATTATTTTTATTTTTCCTAGCTTTCATAATTGGCTCATATCTTTTTCGTTTAACTTGGATTTTAATTTTTTTTACACAAGTGGAACGAGTTCATCGTGCTCTACAAAATGAGATCAATTTTAAATATTTTTTTAGAACAAAAAATTCTAGCCTCTCGGTACCAACTGCATACCATATGGTATTTTGTTCGTTTTTAATTCGTTTTTGAAAACGTTTGTTCAGAAGGGACAAGTTCATCATGATCTATTGGATCTACAAATTTCTGGGGGAACAAATTACAGGACCAAAAAATACCACATAATACCATACAATACCACCCTGGTACGGGGTGGTATCTTATGGTACACAATGTTAAAAGTCGTAAATGACAATTAATATATTTCTACTATCATGTATTCAACCATCCTACAGTCTTGGTTTGTTCATACCACCATGATACGTTTTTCAAACCATAGGTATGCTCTTATTTCAATACCAGTTAATACCATATGGTATAGACTGGTAAAAAATGGCTCAATTTTTTTGTTCGAAAATATATCAAAGTGAATATCATTTTGAAAAGCATAGTTAATCTGATCTAACTGTGTAAAAAAATAAAATTTCAACTTAAAACGAGTGAGAAATTGTCCGTCAAAGATTAAGGAGGGGAAAATTAAAGACTTTTCAGGAGAGAGAGGGATGCTGATGTGGACATGTTACTCATGATTACTCACCATAAGGTTACTGACCTAATTCGTTCTCACTCATATACAATAAACCAGCAAGACACCCTTCAATACTTAAGTTAGTAAAAGAAGGAAAGTATATGTCACGAGGTCGCGCCGACGTGACAATTCGAAGAATTAGACTTGCGTGTTATGTAATTTATTTCTCATGGTTCAAAAATGCGCTTTTAATCTTATGCTTAAGCATGCTTAGATGCTAGGCAATGCCAAAACGTCTTGCCTAAGTGTAAAAGTGTTGTAAATTGTTAGTTCATTCATTATGTAGTAAAAAATGCTATTTTTTCTTTCAATGCCTAGGCAAGGTCCCAACGCCGCCTTACAGCTATCGCCTTCTTGAACCTTGATATGTCATTTATTATTACTTGTTTGATATTAATTTAGGATTTTTTTTATTTTTTATAAGTGTTTTAGTTGGGTTTTTTTTACCCTTGAATATATGGGTTGTGGGCCTTGAGCTTTATGCCTCTTGAGCTAGCCCTTCATAGATCTCGAATAGGCTTCTTCTAGACATCAGATCATATGTCTATCAATAAGTTCACATTATTAAAAGTCTATTTATTGAAAATAAAATTGAGAGGCAAAGGAAAGTAAGAGGAGAAATGCTCTGACATCTTCTTCATTTCCCCATTTGTTAGTGTTGAGTCATTGAGTGACTCGTTACTAATTACTACACATCCCAATTGATGTCCAAGTATAACCAATGACCAGGTGTAGCATAGGGTAAGCAAACAATAAAATTTATCGCACAACAGGAATCTAAGCTTACCTTACTTTAGGTTTAGGGTTCGTTATCCTGCCAATCTAGGATAGTGATTAAGAAACTAATCTAACTAAACTAACCACTAAGTTGTGGAGCTCTCTTAGATTGAATCCCATAGTTCTATCGTTTCGATCAATGTTGAGTACTATCCTAGGTTGATCGATTCACTACCCTACCATTATGAGATCGACTCACACGGGATTGACCCGGAACGACAAAATGATGGATGGGTAGGTGCTCTATTCAACCTAGGGTTTCATATATTTCTAGGAGACCAATTGAATCAACTCACTCGGAGATTACCTGAACAATATACGATAGTTGTGACCCGAAGACGCCAATAAGTTGGAATCACCCTCTTGCAACCAATCAGTCCTATATATCTATTTCCATACCATCTCTTCTTGTTCCCAGAATTCATCCAGTTCTTTTTCCAGCATCCTTCTTTGGTTTATCACTAGTCCTGTCATTTGGAGTTTTTTCAAGCTTTTCTACTGCCTTTTCACCTTTTTGTTTCCTGACTTTTAGTCTGGCAAAGTTCACTTGCTCCATTATTTTAACCTATCTTCACAATTCTTGATTCTTCCTATCACTATTCCATTTCCACTCATCCTTCGTCCCTCATCACTCACCATCTTGATATCATTATGGTTTTGCTAAAATGATCCATACCCAAAAGAACAACCCCACTTTGTCTCTTCTGACATAAGTTGTGTTTGTAGAAGAATAGGATTGTGATGAGATCAACATCTTTGCAGATGATAAACCAGAGCATTGGGATATATAGTTTTTCAATAACTGGTAACCACCATTTTGTCAAGCCCTTTCTTTAAGATATGTATCATCCTTGTGATTATTTATCTCAAGTAATCTTCGCCCATAGCCCCAAGTCCTCAAGACTACAGTCTGCCAGGGCATTATTAAAGTCTTTCATTTCCTCAACATCTGCTTAATGTTTCCCATTTTTTCCTTTATAAATTTTCACCAACCAAGGTAGAATAACCAAGCCATTTAGTCTTGGTAGCAACTCTCATGTATGAGTCTTCTGGTGCATTATAGCACCCGTTATAGCACATTAGGCCCGGGTGCCGAGTTGGGCTTAGTGTTAGAAACCGAATTATATCGGGTTTCTATATTTATTATTATAATTATTATTAGGGTAATTCTTATTATGGTTAGTAGTCTTCTAATAGAATTAGGTTTATTCTTAAGAGTTTTCTAGAATTCCCTATAAATATGTACCTTACCTATTCATTCGGTATCAATAAGAAGCATATTAAAAAAATCCCTAAACCCTATTCTCTCCCAAATCCTCTCAATTTCTCTTCTTTCCCTAATCCGGCCGCCGGCCATTCTTTCTCGTTCTTCCTCAAATTCTACTTCTTAATCCCTAATTCTATTCTTCAAATCCCTATATCCCAATTATCAAACCTGTTAGAAACCTTGTTTCTAACATCTGGTATCAGAGTTGTGGTGAACTCAATTCTCGAACCGGGCTCTGATACCAAATGTTAGAAACAAAGTTTCTAACGGGTTTCTAGATCAGATCTAGAGATTGGGGATTTAGGGTTTATAAAACAGAATTGGGGATTTAGCGATTTGAGAAGAGAATTTAGGGATTATGAGAAGAATCGGGGATTTGGGGAAGAACGGCCGAGGCCTTTGAGGAAGAAAGACAGACGAGGTTGAGAGAGACAAAATAGGATTTTGGGAGATAATTGTTTTACTAATTTCTGCTTGATCTGACGAATGACCCAAAGTACATATATATAGGGAAATACTAGAAAACCCTAACAATAAACCTAATCCTACTAGAAAACTACTAACCATAATAGGAATTACCCTAATAATGATTATAATAATAAATATAGAAACCCGATATAATTCGGTTTCTAACATCTCCTCCCCCTTCAGACCAACCATGCTCTCAAGGTTGATCCACTTGACCCACTCCTCCTTCCTTCTCACGCAATGTGCACGTTGACTACTTCATTTCTTGCGTTTCCGTTTCTTCCAATCGTGCTCCAACTTCAATATTGGGCTTCTTCCACCAACTTTCTTGGGCTGGTCCTTTTCTTCAACCTTCACTTGCATGGGCCCAACATTCGCTTCCTTGACACATTCGAACTTTGCCATATCCGCTTTGGTTGGCCTCATACTTCCACAACTCAAGGAATCCAACGATTCGTGCTTGTTCAAGAACTCATCCTTGAGTACCATTTCACCGAGACCTTCATAAACTTTTCTTGAAGCTAGCCCATATATTGTTTCTCCAATTGCTTTGGGTTTCGCTCTCTTAAGAACCCACCTTCTATTCCTTGCAGCCCATCTCCTTGTTTTTTTAAATCCAACCCATTCAAGCATAATCCAAGAAGATAGCCCATTTTGGGTCCAAACCTGCCCTGTGAACTCGGCCCATTATTATTTTGGAACTCTTTTAATTCCACATGTCTTGGCCTATGACTGAGCTCGCTGGAAACATGAACCAACCATATCGCAATGGGCCCCTCGCCACCTAGCCCGCTATGCCCGTCCTCCAGGTCCACAGCAAACCACATCCGTCGTTCCTCTTGGCCCAAGTTGTGCCAAGTTGCTTTAGGGTTTGTGATAGGAAGGGCGCCGCCTTCCTTATTCATTCTCTCTCGCTCTGGCCGCCCCTTTCCCGGTGAGGAGCATCACGTCCGACGGCACGGTGGCCGGCTTGACTCCATCGCCGAATCATCTCCCGGCGGCGAGCCGCCCAGCCGATGGCACGCCGGCTGACCCGAACTCGTCGCCGTCCTCAGCTCTTGCTTACCCAAACGCGGCTCCGGCGGAATCTTCTTCTCCTCCATTCCCGACGGCGAGACCACAACCTGCCTGGTTCCCGTCGCCGCGACTGCAGCTGCCAGCGACCACGACGCATCTTCTCCCTTCGCGATCGTCGAACGGATTACCCAGCTAGGTTCCTGAATAGCCCAAGAAGAGGCGATGTCGCCGCCTTTCTCCTTCATCGCCAGTTCCGTGTCGCTCCCTCCGACAGTGACTTCCACCGCTTCGTCGGCCTCGGCGGACGTTGGTGGTCGCTCACCGTCGGCGATTTGGGTCACCGTCTCTGCTTGCACGGTCGGCGACTCTTCGGAGCTCCAACGGCGTCCGATGCGGCGAGCCCGGTCACGCAGCTCTGCCCACGACAGGTTCGAGAGCTTTGAAGAGCTCATCGTCGAACCAGTTGTAGAAATCGTCCCCGGTTGAGAGTTGTGGTGAACTCAATTCTCGAACCGGGCTCTGATACCAAATGTTAGAAACAAAGTTTCTAACGGGTTTCTAGATCAGATCTAGAGATTGGGGATTTAGGGTTTATAGAACAGAATTGGGTTTAGCGATTTGAGAAGAGAATTTAGGGATTATGAGAAGAATTGGGGATTTGGGGAAGAACGGCCGAGGCCTTTGAGGAAGAAAGACAGACGAGGTTGAGAGAGAACAAAATAGGGTTTTGGGAGATAATTGTTTTACTGATTTCTGCTTGATCTGACGAATGACCCAAAGTACATATATATAGGGAAATACTAGAAAACCCTAACAATAAACCTAATCCTACTAGAAAACTACTAACCATAATAGGAATTACCCTAATAATGATTATAATAATAAATATAGAAACCCGATATAATTCGGTTTCTAACACTTAGTAATTAGGGTATTACTATTAGTTAATCGTTAGATTACTTGGTTGTTCGTATTAGTTTATTGTGTCTTGTTGATGACGTTATTAATTACTTGTTGGGTTAGGATTAGTTTACCTTGCATGAGAGGAAAAGAGTTTGTGGGAGAGTCCTATAAATATATATGTTGTTCTTTGGTTTTGATATGTCAATGAATAATAAACTAGTTTAGTAGTATTCGTAGTAGATTTAGGAGTAGAAGTAAAGTAATTTAGCAATTCACGACGCGTGAATTCTATCACGCGCCAATTGGTATCAGAGTCCTGTTCCGAGGAACCGAGCTCGACGATGCTCGCATATAGGGCATGCTTTCCGCCGATCGATGAGAGGTGTTGCATCATCCAGAAGCAACTGGACGAATGCAGAAGGTTGTCGAGGGATGAAGCTTTCCAGCTTGTTGATGGAGAACCACCGATCGAGATTGACGAGCCGCCAGATAAACCTCCTAGTCCGGACGATGCAGAGATCTCGTTGTCTGCTCTCAAAGGCGTTTCCAAGCAGACGATCATCCGCTTCGACACCACCATCCGTCAAGAACCAGCTGCCGCCTTCGTCGATAGTGCATCATCGCACAATTTTGTGAGTTACGAAGTTGCCGAGAGGTTGTTCTTACGAGCTACGACGATCCCGTCTTTTGAAGTTAAGGTAATTAATGGAGATTCCCTATTGTGCCAACGATACTACGAAGCGGTACCAATCGAGATACAAGGGGTACAAATTCAAGCCGACTTGTACGAGCTACCACTACGTGGAGTTGACGTCGTTCTCGGCGGTCAATGGCTTGAGCAAGCAAGGCTGATATCTTTTGATTGGAAGAAGATGACCATGCGCTTCAAAGATAAGGGCTCGTGGGTCACGTTACAAGGATCCATTGAGCTCGACGAAGAGGCTACAAGTGTTGCCGAGAGTTTGCTAGATAATGACGGTATGTCCCAAGGGACCGGATGCCGCAATCGAGGGTGTCAGTCGATTCTTCAAACGCCCGAGGCATTGGAGTCGAAGCTGGAGGAAGTCTCCCTTGCCGTTGATATTGTCATTCCCGCCACCACGTCCGCAACCGGGCCGTCATCGAGGATCATTACAACTCCGTCGCCGCCTATTGGAACCCTAACCATCGAGGGTATTGCCCTGGGAATGTCCGTCAAGCCGACGTCCCAAGACCCAACCTCGACGCCGCACATAACTTTCCGCCTTAAAGGGGGAGGCGGCTCTATCATAGGAGGAAGAGGAAGAAGCAAGACGATGCCATTGTTGAAACCACCATCAAGTCACTCTCGCAGGCTAGAGCCCTAGCTAATTCGGTGGAGACCAATGAAGAAGTCGTTGCTGCCAACGATGACGCCTCGCCTGCCACTGTCTTTGCTGATGTGAGTACGGTTGCTGGTATGAGTTCGTTTTTGCTGTTGGGTCAACTTAATTGGAAGTACCGGAAGAGGCAGAGAGCCGGTGTCGGCATGTCCGAGCAACCCAACGTAGGGTCTCCATTTGACCTACGAGAGCTGTCAAGGAATGCAATGTTGTCTCTGCCAGCGGGATTTTGGCCGCATGTGTTGACGAAGGATGGAGGAATTTGTGCGGCTGTACAAGAAGACGCTTTTGGTTTACAGTCGGCGAATCGGAAGGTGGAGGGCGACGGAACCGACACCATCGTGGGAAGGCGAGGCTTGGTTCGTGGTTGTATCGGCCCGGGCATGGGTGGACTCGTTGGGGCTTTGCTGTATGGAGTTGATCCGGAGAGTTTCGCTGATAGAGATGTTGTTGTGGAGTTGATTGGTTGTGCCAGGGGCGGACCCAGGGGGACACCCCCTAAATTTTGGGAATACGATTATCCAACCCCCGGTGGTAATTTACGCATGGACAAAAAATATATATATATAATTGATAGTGAGGGACACCCCTGAAATTTGAAAACATGATTTTCTTATTGTCATTTGTGTATAGGAATATAAGTGGTAGATTGGGTAATTCAAATCTAGAACACTATTCTTATTAACAAACTTAATTTCCGTTGACCTACAACTCATTTGTTGTTCGATTTTGAAAAATGTAATTGTAAAATGTCATTTCCTATCTCTAATTATTTTAAAAACCTAACAATTAAACTAGTTTCAAGCAACCCTTAATACAGCAAGTGTTGAAAGAGTCTTTCAGCTTTGGGTTACATCGAGAACAAGTTTGCAAATCGAATATGCGATAAGTTCGTGAATGATTGTCTAGTAGGGTATATAGAGACAATTTTTTTTAACACTATAGACACCAATTGTATTATACAATTATTTCCGAATATGAAACTTTTTAACCTGTACAAGTAAGGTATTTTCAAATTTAAGATTTTATTTTTATTTTTATTAATTATTAATTATTTTTATTTAATTTATTTTTAAAAGAGGACACCCCTATGGGTCATTCCCAACCGGTGGGCTTACATATTTTTGACACGTCGGACACGGGTTTGGGGTATTGGTTGTATTACGACATTATTAGGGTTCAAACCCCTCGTTTAGTCAATAATTAAGGGTTGGAGCGCCCCTTAGCACTCCGTTTCTGACAAAAAAAAAAAAGAGGACACCCCTATGAAAAATTTCTGGGTCCGCCACTGGGTTGTGCTACAAACAAAATCGTTGCCCAAGCTGAAGGATGCGGGCGACAGGATCCAACTACGACCACAAGAGCGATTGGGATTGATGGAGGGAGTGCGAGATACAAGCCGCAGGTAGGAGGACGACGGTTTAGTCAAATTAATGGGGGACCTATGCATTTGGGTGACATTCTGGGGTCTTCCATATGGGCGGGGGTTTAATTGCTTTGGTGGAATTGAGGGGAGAGGCTCTTCTCATGAAGATCTACGTAGCATGGATGGCGGAGGAATGGGTGAGAAGGGTTGTTTGGGGGAGTGGGATGAGAACAACATTATAAGCAGAGCCTATTATTCTTGTGCGTCAATACGTGGCTTGCATGGGAAATGGCCCTTGGAAGATGAACATTATTGGTGGGCAAGTAATTCCATGCGCGAGGAGGTGGACTTGGGAAAAGGTGAAGGGTATTTGAAGAAGGAAGACGAGGAAGCTAGGGATGTTAGGTTGGTTCAAGTACCCGAACCTAATTGGAAGCGTCGTAAACGATATCGGTTTCGACGGGCATCCACTATCTTTGTTGTCATCAATACGTGGGAACGATTCTTCTTCATCGATCCAGGTTGAAGATGGCGCCTGAACTTCGGGGACCAAGTTCTTCAAAGGGGGGAGGTTTGGTGCATTATAGCACCCGTTATAGCACATTAGGCCCTGGTGCCGAGTTGGGCTTAGTAATTAGGGTATTACTATTAGTTTTTTTTTAGGGAAAGGGTATTACTATTAGTTAATTGTTAGATTATTTGGTTATTTGTATTAGTTTATTGTGTCTTGTTGATGAAGTTATTAATTACTTGTTGGGTTAGGATTAGTTTACCTTGTATGAGAGAGAAAGGGTTTGTGAGAGAGTCCTATAAATATGTACGTTGTTCTTTGGTTTTGATACGTCAATGAATAATAAACCAGTTTAGTAGTATTCGTAGTAGATTTAGGAGTAGAAGTAAAGTAATTTAGCGATTTACTACGCGTGAATTCTATCACGTGCCATCTTCTTTTCCTGTTCTAGATAGCCATAAAATTCAGTCATCCTTCATGTTTTACCCCCCTCCTCAATCATCATGTTGATGTTATTGCTCAATTATAATTTTATCTCCAATTTCACATCTTGCTGCCATAATACCAGTAGCCGCCCAACTATCTCAATAGGACCTACACCAAAACTATTTATCCAACCTACATTCTGCCACGTTCATATCCGTTCATTCGAGAGCTTCTTCCTGCAAGATAGTACTCAGGTATGCTTCTTTCATTTTCTTACTTTCTTCAATTTTTATTTTTTTTTGGTACCGCCATATCACTACAACAAAACAGTGATTTAGCGACGGTTCTTCGGACATTTAGCGACGGTCAAAACCGTCGCTAAAATATTTAATGACGGACAAGCAACCGTCGCTGACCCGCAGTCCTTAAATTTTATAGCGACGGTTTCGACGACCGTCGCCCTAACCATCGACAAAGTTTAACGACGGCAGTGACCGACGCAATAGTCCAGTTAACTGTCGTTAAATAAATATTCCAGAAATTATTTAAATTGTTTAGTGACAGATATGACCGTCACGAAAAGCTAATGACCGTCGCTAAAGGATGTTGTATTTTAACGAGCCACCTGCTCTAATAATACAGCCCTAGCCTGCTGTTTTTCCATTACTCTAATGATCTGGTAACAATTTTCTGAACATCAAATCAGCAATACAGTAGCCTAATAATCACAATTCCACAATTGTATATCTATTCATAACCCTTGAATTACCATACCAAAAATATAATCCATCTATCCTTACAAAAGTACCATCAAATCCAGAATTGTGAATCAGTCAAACCACTTACAAATGTTCAAAGCCTACAATCTACAGTTCAATACTATTT